AAAATGTATATGGGTACTCAAATGAAAGCTCTTGATGAGTGTAAGATCGGGATGAGCTTAGATCTTTAAGAACGTCAATAGTTAAGAAAGTACAGGACATTTTAACAAATATCTTGTAAACTATTGACATTTTTAAAAATATAAGCTCATCCTGATGTTACAATCATCGAGACCTTTTATTTGAGTATACACATCAATTTTTCATATATTTATATATATTATATGTATATGTATATATGAAAAATATATTGAAATGCATGTGGGTACTCAAATGAAAGCTCTTAATGAGGGTAACATCGGGATGAGCTTATATTTTTAAATACGTCAATAATTAAGAAATTACATTGTATCTTGTGAACTATTGACATTTTTAAAGATATAAGCTCACCACGATGTTATACTCATCGAGACCTTTTATTTGAGTACCCACATCAATTTTTCATATATTTATATATATGTATACATATATGAAAAATATATTAAAATGCATGTGGGTACTCAAATGAAAGCTCTTGATGAGTGTAACATCGTGATGCGCTCATATCTTTAAAAACGTCAATAGTTGAGAAAGTACAGGGCATTTTAACAAATATCTTGTGAACTATTGACATTGTCAATAAACAATAAAATTTTTTAGAAAAAATTTATTTGTTAAATAAAATTAAAAAATTATCAAATGATTGCTAATTCTACTGTCATGTAAAAATAATATAAATAAATACATGGTATAAATGTATTGAATTTTTTAATCATTGATATAATAATAATTGTAAAATAATTAGTTTTTACCGCAAGTACTGCTCCGTCTTGAGTGAGGACTAAATATCCTACTTGGTCTGGTATGCGCTCCATCAGCAACATTGTTTTGTCTAACTTAAGTATTATAATTATAATTATAAATTATTACCATAAAAAATGTAAAGTATTTTTAAATGTTTTGTAAATTACTTACTATTAATAATTAAACGTTAGTCAAGTAATTTTTGTTTGTTATTATTTATGTAGTTTGTTTTTTTTTTTTGGTATATTTTTTCTTCGAGGTTCGGCTGTCAGCTGTCACTTAAATAAAGTCCAGTTTGTAAACTTGGTCGCACTTATTCGTTTCATAGAAATTATTTATAGGCTTGACGTTTTGCGCGTGTTCTATATTACCGGCAAAATTTAAATTAAAATTAATTTATTACATTTAAAAAATTTTTGGGAAAAAAAACAAGTAAAATAAAAAATACAATTTTAAAAAAAAAAAATTTTTGAAAAAATTTATTCATCAAAAAAAATTAAAGAATTGTCAAGTAATAACTTTAATGTCATAAATTTAAATAAATTTTTTTTTAGGAAAAAAAAAATAAAAGTAAAATTCGTGAGCAATATAAAGTGTTTATTTCAAAATTAATTAATATTGGAGATCATAATTATTAAAAAACATACGCGAGATCTCCCGTCGTTGGTAATAATTATTACAATATATTTATTTATTTATATATATATATATATATTTATATAAAGTATAAAATCAAAATAGTGACTAAGTAAACAAATGTTAACGATAATAAATTTATAAATAAACAAATACTATAAAAGTGAAAATATTATACATTAAAATTTTTTTCATTCAAACTTACTACGTCAACAAAGTGCAAATGCAATCTTTTTATAATTTTTTTTTTTTACTCAACATATTTAATAATTAATTTATTAATTCGATTTATTTATCTTCTATATTAATATTTCTATACCCATACGCCATGTGGATTTTTACTAGTAGGCACTGCATTCTCCAGTTGCCTTGGTGGTCCTATAAGTTTACGTGGACAAATAGGTTTTTGGGTACCTAAAATAAATTTTAAATTTCAGTTAAACTTACTCTTAATAGAGATAGTAATAATAATAATAATAATAATAACATAAACCTTCTAATAAATTTTTGATTTGTTCCTCTTGACATGCAACAGTCAAACTCTGTAAATTAGCTTCTTTCATTTCCGAAACTAGTTTTTCAACTTGTAATTTTTTATCTACAATAGCCGATTCAATGTTTGTAACTTCTTGTTTCAATAAATCAGCCGATTGATTAGTGTGTTCTGTTAACCGTTTAGCCAATTCAAGTTCACTTTGTAGTCTTTCCATTTCATTCAATATTTTTCGTTCCATAGCTGAACGCTCCTCGGTTTCTCGGTTAATATTGTGTTGCTCTAATGAAAGTTCATCCACTAACAACCTAACATTGAAATAATAATCTATATTATTAGGAGAAGAAAAAAAATTTTGTTTCCAGGATAAATATCTTGTGAACTATCGACATTTTTAAAGATATAAGCTCATCCTGATGTTACACTCATCGAGACCTTTCATTTGAGTACCCACATCAATTTTTTATATATTTTATATTTTATATATTTATATATATCAATATATGAAAAATATATCAAAATGCATGTGGGTACGCAAATGAAAGCTCTTGATAAGTGTAACATCGGGATGAGCTTATATCTTTAAAAATGCCAATAATTAAGAAACTACCTTGTACCTTGTTAACTATTGACATTTTTAAAGATATATGAAAAATATATCAAAATGCATTTGGGTACGCAAATGAAAGCTCTTGATAAGTGTAACATCGGGATGAGCTTATATCTTTAAAAATGCCAATAATTAAGAAACTACCTTGTACCTTGTTAACTATTGACATTTTTAAAGATATAAGCTCACCCCGACATTACACTCATCGAGACCTTTCATTTGAGTACCCACATCGATTTTTCATATATTTCTATATGTTATATATATATGTATATATGAAAAATATATGAAAATGCATGTGGGTACTCAAATGAAAGCTCTCGATACGTGTAACATCGGGATGAGCTTATATCATTAAAAATGTCAATATTTCTCAAGATACAAGGTCATTTCTTAATTATGTTAAATTGCTCTGTACTTTCTTAAGTATTTACGTTTTTAAAGATATAAGCTCATCCCGATGTTTCACTCATCAAGAGCTTTCATTTGAGTACCCACATGCATTTTGATATATTTTGCATATATACATATATATAAATATATAAAATATATGAAAAATTGATGTGGGCACTTAAATGAAAGTTCTTGATGAGTGTATTATCGGGATGAGCTTATATCTTTAAAAACGTCAATATTTAAGAAAGAACAGTCCAATTTAACAAAAGTTATTATTTAATAAAGCAAAATTTTAATTTTTTATAGTTTACAAGTCACTAGTATTATTAAAACTCAAAGCAATCAATAATAAAAAAAAAAAAAAATTATACCTTATTTTATTTTTACACTGCAGTAATTCCGTTTCGCACTTATTGATCTTTGATCTAAGCGAATTTATTTCTGATATCAGAGATTTTTCCTGCTGCCTTACGATTTCATTTTCTTCTTCAGTGTGCATTAATTCACTTAACTAAAATAAATTATATAATTAACATAAAAATCTTAAGAATATTATTAAAAATAACTTAATATACCTGTTCTTCTAAAACACGACCGGCTGATTCAATACGATTTATTTCTTGTGATATAAAATCCATTTGATTATAGTGCTCTCTATTTTTACTCTCCCAATACAAGATTTCGGCATTCAACTATTAAATAAATAAAAATAAAAATAATTATTATTAAAGAAACAAATTATGAATAAAAGTACACGGAAAGAACAAGATGACACTGGATATCATCCCAGATTAAACTCAGTGATATCTGTGGTAAAAAAAAATTTCAGATAGTAGCTAGAAAAGTCCATATTGTCTTGCGTGATATCTGGATTATACTCATTGTGATCTAGATTATACTCATTGTAATCTGATTTTTTTTTTTCACTTAGTATATTCTGAGATATCAGTGTCATCTTGTTCTTTCCGTGTAGGTTTGATATAAATAATATTATAAAAAAAAAAAAAAAAATACTTTAGTGAGATCAACTTGTTGTGAGCTAAGAGTATCGCGTTGGTTATTGACTAGTTTTATAAGTTCAGCATAACGATGAGTATAAGCCACAGCTACCATATTCTGCGGTTGACTTAGTTGCGGCTTACTCGATTGCATAAGTCCCTTTGTATCTTGGATCTCCTGACGTTAAAAAAAAAAAAAAAAAATTAATATAAGTACAATAATTTAAATTCAAGCTGAGCATTAATTAATATTTTACCTGACTACGTTTTGATTTAGTAGAACCAGTAGCCGAAGACTGTTCTTCTTTGGAAAGACTGAAATTTTCACTAGTCGAACTTTCTTGAGACTGTGACTTGTTATTAGTCACTATTGGTGGCGGAGGATCACGATACGGGGGCAATGTCCTCAGTGGTGATGAATCAGGACCTGGAGGATCACGATATGGTGGTACTTCACGGGTTTTTTTGTGTGTTAAACTTATAAATCCTTTTTAAAAAAACCAAAAAATAAAAACAATGAAAATGAAAAAACTAAAAAAATAATAATTTTATTTTTTGTACCTTCGCTACTCGAAGCTCTGGTAGGTGACTCATTGCTCTTAAATGTGGCTTTTCTCGATTGTATTTTGGTCTGTAGTGTCGGTTGTACTACAGCAATATTTTCCATTTGTACCTGCTGCATAATTCAATCATTACATATTTTTTCAAGAACAAAATATTATTTAAAAATTCTATTAAAAATGAACCTCTGAATGATCAGATACTGTTCCGTGCAATCCACTAAACGTAAGGGATTTCCGTATGTCCCGATTCCTCTTGAGTACCTCCGGTGATTCATTACTCTCAGACGTAGAGTGTCCATTATTACTATTGTTATTATTATTGTTACTATTACTACCGCTATCGTGACTTCTATTATTAACGAATTGATCAACTGCCGAGTTTAGTGCTCCATTAGGCCGGGCTCTATTTAATACATTCGGCTGATTTTTGTTCACATCCGAGTTTGACTTTCGAAGAATCAATTGAACATCTGGAGCGTATTCGCCGTATTTCATCAGTATCTGAATTAAATTTATTATTACTCGGAATTTTAGGAGATTTATAATGACACTAAAGTTAACGGACATTAGAAAACTTTTTTTAGAATTTTATGGTTATTAAATTAAAAAGAAAGAAAAAATTATTAGTGGAAATTTTTAAAATCATTTTTATTGTAACTAGCAACCTTGCAGTCACTATGTGACTGTCATGATTTGTGAACTATAAATAAATGAAATTTTACTTTATTAAATAATGACTTTTATTAAATTGCATTGTACTTTCTTAAATATTGGCGTTTTTAAAGATATAAGCTCATTCCGGGGTTACACTCATCAAGAGCTTTCATATAAATATATGAAAAATTGATGTGGGTGCTCAAATGAAAGGTCTCGATGAGTGTAAAATCGGAATGAGCTTATATCATTGAAAATGTCAATTGTTCCTAAGATACAAGGTCATTTCTTAATTATGTTGAATTGCACTGTACTTTCTTAACTATTGGCGTTATTAAAGAAATAAGCTCATCCCGATGTTACACTCATCAAGAGCTTTCATTTGAGTACCCACATGCATTTTTATATATTTTTTATATATACATATATAAATATATAAAATATATATAAAATTGATGTGGGTACTCAAATGAAAGGTCTTGATTAGTGTAATGTCGGGGTGAGCTTATATCTTTAAAAAGGTCAATATTTCACAAGATACAAGGTCATTTCTTAATTATGTTAAATTGCACTGTACTTTCTTAACTATTGACATTTGTAAAGATACAAGCTCATCCCGATGTTACACTCATCAAGAGCTTTCATTTGAGTACCCACATGCATTTTTATATATTTTTCATATATACATATATATAAATATATAAAATATATGAAAAATTGATGTTGGTACTCAAATGAAAGGTCTCGATAAGTGTAACATCGGGGTGAGCTTATATCTTTAAAAAGGTCAATATTTCACAAGATACAAAGTCATTTCTTAATTATGTATAATTGGACTGTACTTTCTTAACTATTGACATTTGTAAAGATATAAGCTCATCCCGATATTACAATCGTCAAGAGCTTTCATTTGAGTACCCACATGCATTTTTATATATTTTTCATACATACATATATATATAAATATATAAAATATATGAAAAATTGATGTGGCTAGTCAAATGAAAGGTCTCGATAAGTGTTATGTCGGGGTGAGCTTATATCCTTAAAAATGTAAATATTTCACAAGATACAAGGTCATTTCTTAATTATGTATCTGGAGATAGTGCTTTTGCGAATGCAGCTTGAGTACTTATCATAATAAATTGATAATCGGTGAGAATGATATGAAACCTTGAAAAGGCACAAATTAAAGTCAAGACCTTTACAATGACACTAAATTTAACTAAAAAAACCGATTTTATCATATGACTATCCTAAAGACAAAATTTTTCTTATTCTTTTAATAATATAGATTTATTTTTTGTAAGAATTAAAAAAAATGACAGTTGTCAGCTAGCTTCAGTATCATGATTAATAAATAATTATAAATGTTTTTTTATGCTGATAAATTTTTATCAAAAATTTACTTTAAAAAGTCACTAAAAATTAAAAAAACAAGTACCATAAGAGGATTTTCATAGGGTGCCAAAAGACGTTCACTATTACGCCATCGTTCAACTAGAGTAAACCTCCCAGACTGGCTCGTAGCATGAGCTAGTGCGTAAACTACATCCTGAAAATTATAAATTACTCTATTAAAAATATGTAAATAAAATAATGAAAAAGATTTTTATCTAAAAAACAAACCTCGCACGTAGTTGTCTCAGTGACACCACAAACAATCCGTTGTATCCCTTCAACCCAAACTTTCAGCTCCATATTATTGTTTCATCTACACCTTATAAGCTGCATTATAATTTATTATTTCACCGTCTAACAATAAAATATTAAAACAACCGTCACAAATTCCCTTTACGGTCACCATTAAAATCCTTCGTCATATTTAAATATATTTATTTTTATATATATTTTATCCCACTCCCATATCCCGTAAATATATCACCACTCTCAACAGCTAAGTATTTATCATCACCACTAATTGTTAATAAATAATAATATTTATGACAATGAATATCCACACCCAATTTCCAGCGTAAAATAAAAAAATCAATGAACTACACTCGTTTGTTAATTACTATTGTTGTGTAGTAAAGTGTAGTAAAATTCGTAGTATTTGTAGTAAAAGGAATGGCAATATTAAAAAAAAAATTGTAAACATTTATATATTGTTGAATTTACTTTACATATTTCTATCTCACTCTTTTTTTAAGAATCGAATCTACACTTAATGTCAGAGCGAAGGAGATGACAAGTGATCTTCTAACGAGACTATAAAACTATAGAATGAAATTTACGACACTTTCATCAGCGCCATTGTGGACAGATCATAAACTATTATGACACTGAAGTTGACAGATATTAAAAAAATTTTTTTTAAATTTTATAGCAATTAAATTATTGTAAAAAAAAATTTAATTAAAAAATTGCACATGTGAAAATTAATAAAAATTACAAGTGAAAATTTTTAGAAGAATTTTTTTATGGTAATTTATTTTTTTAAAAAATTTTTAAAATTGACAGCTGACGGCTAACTTCAGTATTATAAACTATTATAAAAATACTAATATTGTAAAATCTCTCTTAAGTTACATAGGTTGTCTTCTTTGCTCTTATTGGTCAGCTGTCAAAAAATAAAGACAGAAATAGAAAACTTTAAGGAAGTTTTTTTTGTGTATATAAATATGAAGAGCATAACTTATACTTTTAGTTTTTTAATGACACTGAAGTTAGCTGTCAGCTGTCAATTTTTTTTAATTTTTACATTAAAAAAATGACATTAAATTTAGCTGTCACTTTTTCTTTAATAAATAAATTATGGAAAAAAAAATTATTAAAAAAATGGATGAAAATAAAGTTAGCCGACATCTGAAAATTTTTATGATTTTTTTTATTGAAGAATTATTACAAAAAAATTAAAGAAAATTTTTTTTCATTTGTTAAAAACTTCAAAAACTACAAGTGCAATTTTTTAAAAACATTTTTTAGTTCAAATTTAATAAATTAAGCAAAATAAAAAAATTAAAAATGTCGGCTAACTTTATTGTTATAAAAAATGGACTTGTAGAAATTTTAACAAATTAAAAATGCAATTTTTAAAAATAATTTCTTAGAACAAATTTTTTTTGTTAAAAAAAAAATTAAAAAATTGTCAAGTGATTGCTTATTTTAATATTAAAATGTCATTAAAAAATTTCTACTTTTCTTTATGATACTAAAGTTAGCGGACGTTTTTAATCTTTTGATTTTTTTTTTTTTTTTAATAATTAAATTAGAACAAAAAATATTTTTTAAAAATTTCACCTACAGTTTTTCAAGTTTTTTACAAGTGAAAATTTTTTTATAATAATTTTTTCAATAAAAAAATTCTAAAAATGTTTGAGCGTCGGCTAACTTAATTTTCATCTTTTTTTATGATATTAAAATTAGCAGTCACTTGATAATTCTTTAATTTCATATAACAAATAAATCTTTTCTGAAAAATTATTTAAAAAAATTTGCATTTATAATTTTTTGAAATTTCTCCATGTCAATTTTTTTTTCTCTTCTTTTTTTGTTATAATTTATTTGTTAAAAAAATTATTAAATATCTGCTAAATTAATTCTCTTTTTTTTTTTTTTAATAATTTTTACATGTGTAATTTTTTTATTAAATTTTTTTCACAATTTTAATTATAATACTGAAGTCAGCTGACATCTGATGATTTTTATGATTATTTTTGACAATTAAATTATTGAAATAAAAATTTTCTAAAAAATTCCATGACATTAAAGTTAGCAGTCACTTGACAATTTTTTAATTTTTTTTTAACAAACAAATTAGTTCCAAAAAATTATTTTTAAAAAATTGCATTTTTAATTTTTCAAAATTTCTACATGTCAATTTTTTCTTCTAATTTTTTTTGCTATAATTTATTTGTTAAAAAAATTTTTAAAATTAATAAATGTCTGCTAAGTTAATTTCCGTAAAAATTCCACTTGTAGATGTCAAACAAATTTATTGTTGCCTTTTTTTTTAAAGTTTTTTTTTAATAATAATTTATATTTTTTGTAAAAATCCAAAAAATGACATGAAAATTAAAGTAGCAGATATTTAATCATTTTTAGAATTTAAAAAAAAAAAATAGTGCAAGAAGAAAATTATTAAAAAAAATTGACATGTAAAAATGGTAAAAAGTAAAAAATGCAATTTTTTAAAAATCATTTTTAGGAAGAAATTTTTTTGTTAAATAAAATTAAAAAATTGTCAAGTGACTGCTAACTTTAATGTCATAAAAATGACAGATGTCTGCTAATGATATTAAAATTAGCCGACGTTCAACAATTTTCGATTTTTTTTATTAATTAAATAACAAGTAAAAAAAATAATTTAAAAAAATTCCACGGGTAATTTTTCAAAACTTCTTCATGTGAAATTTTTAATTTTAATTTTTTTATAATAATTTTTTCATTAAAAAAAATTATAAAAATTTTCAGATGTCGGCTAATTTAATTTCCATTGTCTGCTAACTTCAGCTTCATTTTTTATTTTAAATAAATTTTTATGTCAGTTAACTTCAGTGTCATGTTTGTAACTAACTTCAGAGGCATGACATTACCAACGTACAGGGCGTTGTTGCTCTTCTCCATTCTCTTGCAAATAATTATTGCATTAATTTCTACCATACCCATCAACCTATATGCACATAAGTAGCTATACATTCTACATTGTACATAACAAATATATTTTTTAACAAACGTTCAATTTATTCTTTTCTAACATTGACATATGCCGACCACGGTATAAATGTACTTGCTGATAAATTATTAACAAGTGTATAAGTACGTGGTCTATCTACTTTTTTTTTTATATTTTTATTTAAATTCGATAGTTTTAGTCCTTGGATTATGTCTAAGTACACAATCCGGGTAACAGTCATTAGTTCATTCCGACCGCGTAAAAAATAAGATTACGAGGTAAGTTTCTTTGTTATTTTATATTTTTCCTTAAAAATTATTACTAAAATATTTTTTTATTATTTTGTTATTTTATTTTAAACTTTCAAAAATGATGCTCTAATTTTATGGTTAAAATTTGCGCATTTGTGTCATATATTTCTATAGTTTATTACAATGATAGTGCAAATAACAAACATTAGACAGTTTTCCAATTAAAAATAAATTAATAAAATATTGATGCTGAAAAAATTCCAAATTTTTACATTTTTAAATTTTTATAAGAAAATAATTCTTGATAAAAATTTTTACACGTGGAATTTTTTATGAAAATTAATTTAGCAGTTTTTTAATAATTTTTCTAATAAAGACATTACTGCATAAAAAAATGGACATTTAGAAATTTTAATAATAATAATGAAGTTAACTGTCAGCTGTCAATTTTTTAAATTTTTATAACAAATCAATTATAATAAAAAAATGCTTCTAAAAATTTTCACTTGTAATTTTTTATTAATATTCACATGTGGAATTTTTTAATTGATTTTTTTTTTTACAATAATTTAATCGCCAAAAAATCCTAAATAAATTTTTAATATCTGTCATAAATTTTGATAAATTAAAAATGCAATTTTTTAAAAATAATTTTTCGGAAAAAAATTTTTTATGTTAAATAAAATTACAAAATGGTCGAGTGAGAGCTAACTTTAATATCATAATTTTTTAAATAATTTGAATAATTGTTATAAAATTTATGAAAAATTGACAGATGTCCGCTGATTATATCATCATAAATTAAAAAATTTTTAATGACTTTAAAGTTAGCAATCACTTGACCATTTTCTAATTTTTTTTTAACAAACAAATTTTTTCCAAAAAATTGGATTTTTAATTTTTTTTTTAATTTCTTCGTGTCAATTTTTTTTTATAATTTTTTTTTTGCCATAATTTATTTGTTAAAAAAATTTTAAAAATTCTAAAATATCTGCTAAATTAATTTTTATAAATTTTTATCAATAATAAATTATTTTTACATAAAAGAAAAAAATTTTTTTATCTATTGTCATCACTATTATTTCCTAGAAGCATGACTATAAATATTTAAAAATAAATTAAATGAATAACCTATTGAGTTATAAAAATGACAATGTAATTAAAATTTATCAAGTATTAAAACGTGTAAAAATAAATGATTCGCAACTGATAAAGATAAGTAACAAATCCAACTAATAATATATTTGATGACACACAGGATGGCGTGAGTAGAATGATAGGGTGTTTATGTGAATATGTTGGATAAGCGGCGGCTTCATGGCCACGTGTCGCCGCCAGGTTACTTGCTGTTTGTGATTGCCCTATTTTTAATGGGATTTCTATCATTTTGGATGCTAATTATCGGGTGTCCAGAGTCATCACTGCTAACTACCGAAGTAACTGTTCCCGGATACATTCTATTGGTTCCTGACAACGTCTCAACGATTCCTGTACCATATTCATTGAACGATCTGCCGTCCACCGATGAATCGACGCTGATTGATATTAAAAATTTTAAATTCACCATCAACCATGATCCCTGCAACAAAACGCAGCCGCTGCTGCTGATGTTGATACACTCAGCCCCTGGTAATTTTGCTAAACGCAATGTCGTGCGTGACACTTGGGGCAAGCAGACGCCAGAAATGGTCGTGCTGTTCCTTGTCGGAGCTACCCTCGACTACCAGGCTGATTTGAACAAAGAGAATAATAAGTACCAAGATATTATTCAAGGAAATTTTATTGATGCATACAGAAATATGACTTACAAACACGTCATGGCTTTGAAGTGGGCCACGTATCATTGTCCAAGTAATTATTCATTTTTTTATACTTAACAATTTTTTAAAACTAAATAATAGATTCTATTATTGTGTAACTGTTTATGTAATCACTCAGGACAGAAAGAAAAATATTCTTGTATTTATTTTTTTTTATTGAAAGCTACAATTATTTTATCAGTTAATTGTTTTACAAATAAAAAAAATTATCTTTATAAAAATTCTTAATTATCTCAATAAATATAAAATTTTATTTTTTTTTTCTGATAAAATTATCTAAGAAGAATTTATTAATGCTCGAGAATTAATAACTAGCAATCTTGCAGTCACTATGTGACTGCCGTGACTTTTGAACTACAAATAATCAAAATTTTGCCTTATTAAATAATGACTTTGGTTAAATTGCACTGTACTTTCTTAAATATTAACATTTTTATAGATATAAGCTCATCCCGATGATACACTCATCAAGAGCTTTCATTTGAGTACCCACATGCATTTTGATATATTTTTCATATATACATGTACATATATATAATAATATATAATATATATAAATATATGAAAAATTGATGTGGGTACTCAAATGAAAGGCCTCAATGAGTGTAATGTCGCGGTAAGCTTATATCTTTGAAAATGTCAATAGCTCACAAGATACAAGGTCATTAAGAAATTTTCTTAATTATGTTAAATTGCTCTGTACTTTCTTAACTATTGAAATTTTTAAAGATATAAGATCATCCCGACGTTACACTCATCAAGAGCTTTCATTTGAGTACCCACATGGATTTTTATATATTTTTCATATATACATAATTAGGGTGGCGCAAAAAAACCGACTATTTTTTTTTTTGAGTCTCGAGTAAAAAAATGTTAGCTTTAGATGTTTTAAGAGCTCTCCCCAAAGGACAGCTTGAAAAAAAAATTTTAAGAGGTCGCTTCAAATTTTTTAAAATAATTATAATTTTTTTTAATTTATTAGTGACTATTTAATTGGATTAGCATTTTGTAACTTTGAAATTTAAAAAAAATTATGAGCGACATTTCAAAATTTAAATTTTGAATTGAAACTTTTAGTAAGTTATTTTTTTTGGTCTATAAAACTATGACGTAACGAGAAAAAAAAGTTAAAAAAAAAAAATAAATTTTGAATTGAAACTTTTAGTTAAGTTATTTTTTTGGTCTATAAAACTATGACGTAACGAGAAAAAAAATTAAAAAAAAAAAAAATATGTTTTTTGACGATTTTTGAAATTTAAAAAAATTTGGAGCGACCTCTTAAAACATCAAAAACTGACATTTTTTCACTCGAGACTCAAAAACAAAAATAGTCGGTTTTTTTGCGTCCCCCTAATATATATATATAAAATTGATGTGGGTACTCAAAGGAAAGGCCTCTATGTAGTGGTAATTCGTAGGAAATTTGCTACTTGCAGGTTGTGGTTTATCACAAATTTAAGATTAAATACATTAGAAATATACTTTCTTTGTTGCTGTAAGATGGACAGCGGAGTTCTCGGTTCACCTCACTTTCCTCCTCTCCTGTTAGCATCTGTTAGCATTACAGGGGAGTAGCTAGTGGTAATTCGTAGGAAATTTGCTACTTGCAGGTTGTGGTTTGCTACTTACAGGTTGTGGTTTATCACAAATTTAAGATTAAATACATTAGAAATATACTTTTTCTATATACACGAAATATACACGATGAGTGTAATGTCGCGGTAGCTTATATCTTTAAAAATGTCGATAGTTCAGGAGATACAAGGTCATTTCTTAATTATGCATCTAGAGATTGAGCATTTTCGAATGCAGCTTAAATACTTATCATCATAAATTGACTATCGGTGAGAATGATATAAAACCTTGAAAAGGCACAAATTCAAGTCAAGACCTTTGCAATGACACTTAATTTCACTAGAAAAACCGATTTTATCATATGACTATCCTGGAGGCAAAATTTTTCTTATTCTCTTAATAATATAGATTATAATTAATTATGTTTTAGATGCTAAATATATATTAAAATTGGACGACGACGTTTTCGTGCACACTCCAGCAATGATAGACTTCTTAAAACACGGTCTTTCGCCATGGGGTGCTCGACGATTAATTCTGTGTGACCCGCTTTCAACGGGGGTTGTGAAAAGGTCATGGCGTTCTAAATGGCGAGTATCGCCTCAAGAATACCCTGGCAGACGTTATCCAGCTTATTGTGCAGGTTGGGCTATTTTATATTCACCAGATAGTGTATTTCTACTGTATAAAGAAGCTCAAAGAGAACCATATTTTTGGATCGACGATGTCCACATTACGGGAACAGTCGCTAGAAAAGTTAATTTAACTCACAGCTCATTACATTCATTAGTATTAAAAAATGAAGATATGGAGGAGTTGTTAAGTAATCCTAATGTACATCGTGAATTTTTATTTGGACCGCCTAATTTGGCTGAAAATCATATTAAGGCTTTACATTATTTGAGCCAATCTAATAAAGTTTGGCAATAATAAAAATTCACTATTTATTACTACGCTTATTGCTAAAATATTCTAAAGGAATTATAAGTCATTTTTACAAAAATCTTGAGTGTATACGAGAAGTAAATTTCAAAATTATTTTTTTTAGGTCAATTAAGGTTGAGGGTATTTTTAAAATTAAATTCATTTATTTTATTGGCTTTTAAATTGATTTAATTTGTAAAAATATAAAGAACAGAAAATAGCCTGATTAATATTAAAATAAAAAATCAAATTTATAAATAGTAATAACATTTATGGTAAAAATGTATATTAACCTGATAAATTATCTCTAAAATCATGAAAATTAATAACTTTTATATAACACAACCCCAATTTTTCACCAAAATTGTTGAGTTTAAGTTATAATTTAATTTTCTAACGATTAAATTTTTTTGAAGGTTTTTTTTTTTCGAACACCTATTACAAAGTAATTTATCATTATTTACGTAAATTGGGGTAATTATTTACAAGTGGGGTCCACCCTTTTTTTGGCCATATCCAGGTAAAAATTTAATATTTTTTAATTTTTTTTCTTTTATTCTTCTTGTTAAAAAATGTCGTGAAAGAAAAAAATAAAGATTAAAAAATAAAAGGCTTTTTGGCCTTCAAAAGTTGGAAAAAGTTTTAGCTCATGTTTTTGGATAAAATTTCTATTTTATCTTTTTTTGATGTTTTTGATATATTTTTTTTTGAAAATTTGTACAATTTATTAAAATTATGATAATCAACTTTTTTTTTTTAATTGTTCATTTTTTTATGAATTTAAAAAAAAAAAACAAATATATCAATAAAATCACATAGAAATTTCGTTCAAAATAATGAAAATTAAAATGGTGGACCCTACTTGTTAATAATTGCCTAAATTGGTTATTAATACAAATAAATGAGGATACTTTTTTTTTGTAATAATTCAATACAGCTTAAAGAGTTTCAATTGACCATTGGCTTTCTTCGGTATACTTTAAATCTTATGATATACGTGTGATAAATTTTTAAAAAACAAAAAAAAGTCTCCTCTTTATTTTAAGAATAGATAAACTTTGATAATTTTTTGTTACTTAATTAAAAAAAAAAAAATATATTTACTGGGATATTTTTACAATGACTATATTTTCAGCCCAGTCAATATAAAATATAATTAGGTACTACATAAATTAATTTTTTAGATGAATAGATATATTAGAAAAAAGTAATAAATTAAATTGCAATAATTTATTTAAATTAAGTTTAAAATATTTTTGATCTTAGATAAAGATAAATAATTATTATTATGAAATATAATGATTAATGATTAGTAAAACTTGAATATTGGAATAATATTGTCTAAGCGTATCAGGACATACCCAGGGGTATAGTTAACGATGTTCAAGGCTTACTATATCTTGTAATGGTATTTCATATTTAGATAAAACAATTTAGTAAATAGTCTTGAATGAATGATGCTGATAAATGTGTCATCAATTGCCAAAATATCAGAAGTTAGAAAAAAATGTGTAAAGATTAAAAATTAAACTGTAAATATTTATGCAGAAGAGAAGCATAAAAGTACTTTAAATTAAATATGGTCGAGCATTTAAAATATTTAAAAAAATAACTATTATTAGGGATAATAATTTCGAATTATAATTGTAATAATATGTAATTTTAAAATAATTACGTAAAGTTACAATCTCATAATTCAAGTCTAATTATATATCCAATTTATTGCTCAATTTAATCAATATCTCAAAGGCAATATTCTTTTTTACTTATTCATTAGTAAAATTATTTGTGTTTAATAGGCACAAAATTTTTTCATTTATTTTATATAAACTTAAAAATATTTGATTAGTCAATATTATTTATTAATTATTACATAAGATTTTCGTTTATATAATGTGAGTTTTCATCGAAATTTATAAATCTATCTTTGTGAATTCAAAGGTAGCGAATTAAGTAACGTGATAAAATGTGCATATATTAATTATTTAAAGTAATTTTAATTAATTAAAGCATCAAAATTCTAAATAAATTAAAAATATTTTTTTACAATTTTTAGTTGTAAAATTATAGGGTAAATGCACCAATTATTGACCGATTAAGGTTTTCTTTTTCTGTACTAAGCTATAAAAAATCTATTAACCTACTAAAAACAATTTGTAATGGATTTTATTGAAGTTAAATACTTAATTAATAATAATTAATAACTATTTATAATAAAAATTAACAAAATTATATTAATTTTGTTATTTGAATCTTGAAATACTAAAATCATCAATTATTGACCGAAGAAACCCAATAAATGACCGACCGTTCTCCAATTAATTGACCACTCAAATAATTATAAGTAATTTTGTAAACTACACGTATGTAATTAAATTTATGCAGTACTTTTGAAGTATTAATGACATCTTTAACAAAACTAAACATACAATATAATTTTAAATCATACTTTTTTATAAAATAATATAAATAATAGCAATAATTAACATAAAGTCACATTTCCTTAGGTCACAAATAATCACAAATTCATTTTGATGACGATAATTCTTCTGATTCACTTGAAATTTTTTAGAATTCTTCTCCTTCTTTTTTTCAATTAAAGCTTTTTTACTAGCTTGTAACTCTTTTTTATTTTTTTAATTGCTTAGCAATTTTTTCTTCTAATAATTCGTTCTTTGATATAACCGTTCACTAAAAAAATTAGAACAAAATAAAATTTAATAATCAAAAAAGATTTTAAGTTTTAATTTAATTATAAATATACATTTTATAATGATTATTTTTATATTTACAAAATATTGAATGACTAAAGTACTTTAAACACTTGACAGATTTAATTTTGAGGTGAAGAAGTTAGTATTATAAATATACGGTCATTAATTGGATTGTGATAAAATCAGAGGGTCTAATAAATGACCGGATGAATTTTTTACTGGGTAAATGGCTTCTGACGGATCCAATAGTTGACCGGTCTTAAAATAATATTAAAACTTATAATTTAACTTTATTTTTTCAAAAAAGTTGGAATCTGATCTTTAATTAACATAATAAAACTAAAATATTTTATATTATGCCGATATATATCACTAAATTAATGATGAAATGCACTCACTCTCCAATTGTACGCTAATTATTTTTGACCGCTTTATGGCTGGTTGCGTTGTAAACAAACTCAGAATATTTTTTTAAAGCTATAATCACTGCGCAATTAATTGCGTAATTTTTTATTATGATGATTAAATGCCATATTTTTTATTTTAATACTTTAAGAAAAAAAAACCCTTGTAAAATATTAATTAATTAACTTTTTTATACATCGGTCAACTAATTGGTGACCGGTCAACAACTGGTGCATTTACCCTAATTGTTTTCTAAATTAAATATTTAAATTTCAATGGAAACTCCGTAAAAGTACTAAAAGCACAAATAAATAAGCGAACAGATAAATTTATTTGCACAATAGATTTTTTATTTATTTTGTTACTTAAATTCATATCGCGTTACAGATGCCAAAAGGGTGTATAATAAAAATTATATTTTTTTTTTTAAGTCCAAAAAAAATTTTTAGTTTAAAGAAATTTTTTTTTTTTTCATTTCTGCACGGTTTATTTAAAAATGAGTTGATTTCCGAAAAAAAAATTTTTTTATACGCTATTATGGCTCTCGGGACCCAACCTACCTCGGATGCTAGAAGGGTGTATAAAAAATTTGGGAACCGACGTATTTTTTCATGAAATGTACAGAAATGCAAAAAAAAATTTTTTTTAACTAAAAATGAATCCCGGAAAAAATAGACCCGGAAAAACTTTAAAGTTATGAAAAATTCATATTATTTCAGATTTATTAAATTATTCTTATTATTATTAATAATATGAAAAAAATTGCAGGTAGTTGGAAATAATAAAACTTTCCAACTACCTGGATTTTTTTCATATTATTTTATGATTTTGGATGCGATAGAAAATGGAAATTATTATTATTATTATTATTATTGTTAAACATTATTCCTAAGATCGGAGATTTTACTTAATAAAGAGATTATTACTGTTGAAAGCCAACTTTTCCGATCCAGTTGATGCTAGACTAATTTAATAGTAGACTAATTTAATTTTCAATAAATTTAAATTTTCATTTATTATTACTATTTTCACCACATTATTGTCGGTATGAGCACTCCTACCATCCAAGGGTGAATATATTCAATAATTAAAAATTTTTTATTTAATTGACAATTTTTGTTAAGATTAAGTAAAGATGATTTTTTACTCAGTGAAACTTTTTTCGGTTACCGAAAAAATAATTCGGAATGCTCAGACCAGGACTCAAACCTGGATCTTTTAGTTACGCGCCAACTGCTCTATCAGTTAAGCTATCTGAAACACTGTCCGGATTATTATTATTATTATTATTATTATTTTTATTTTACAATAATTTTAATTAAATAATGTGAATTTTTCATAACTTTAAAAATTTTCTCCGGGTCTATTTTTTCCGATTACTTTTGCTGGTATACGCCCTTATGGCATCTGGAACGCGATATTAAAAAAATATTCATGATGCATTTATATTTATTAATTAAAAAATTACTTTTATGTAATTAAATGTTCATTTTCTACCTCACTTTTCGATTGAGTTTATTTAAACGAGAGTTTCAATTATTTTTATAGAGAATTATTAAAAAAATTAGAAATTTTCATAAAAAAAATCAATACTTATTACATTAATTGTCTAGTACTTGAAGATAATTTTATTTTTATTATTTGGCTTGTGTAAATAATATTTTTTGTAACAATACAATTATAATTGATTGTTATTATTGATTAAAGTGTGCATAATATTAAAATAAAAATCATTCGATGAGTTTATTTGAATTTAACAGACAGAAATGTGGTACTAATTACAATTAGATAAATGTATTTACTTGTAATCATGTATGCAGCGTTGATTAATCCTTTATTGATTAATTGGATACTTAAACACACATTTTTTTTTTTTTTTAATAATTA